TTTATTGTATTTAATTAATTTATTTAATAAAAAAAAAATAATTCATCAGTTCTCTGCAAAAAAACCCCCCAAAAAAACAGATTAAGGCCCCCCGATTGAAAAAGCTCACTGTACCTTGGCCCTTTTAATAAATTAAAAAAAAAGCAGTTTGGTGCACCAAATGAACGACACATTATTACTAGATTGATTTCATCATTAAAAGCTTTTTCTCGACTTCTTAAAATCCAATAATCCAACAATAATGACTGTAAATCCATCAGTGCTCTTCATTCATGTCTTTGCTCCTCTGTGAGTTAAGAGGCTTCTCCGGCCCCCTGCTGACTAAGTGGCTCAGTCTCTGAGAAGTCGTCTGCTGACGGAGTTTCATTTACTGTTCAGAAATAAAGGATTTAAAATTTGAGCTTTGAGCAAATATTTAATGTTTGATTTGTGTTTCCTTGCAGCCGTGGCAGTCTGAGGAGGAAGGTTCTTGGCTCCGGGAGTACCCAGTGACTCTCATGCAGTTCTTTAGGTACCTTTACCACAACGTGCCGGACCTTTCACCGATGTGGCACAGCCCTGAGTTCCTGTGCGCCCTGGCAGCCACCGTCTTCCCTTTTAACATCAGACCGTACTCTGAGATGGTAGGACTCTGCAAAAAGAGATAGATTACCCTGAATAAGTGTGTTTTCTTCTGCTTAAGGTCTGTAATGATGTTTAAGAGGTCTGTCTGCCTTTGAGCAGTTTCAAGGTTTTTTTAATGTTTTGCTTTTAAAACTACCTCGATAAAAGCAGAGTGCAACGATCGAAAAGGATGAACAGGAGCTGCTTTTCTTCGTCCTCTCTTGGCTGAAGCTGTATATACTGTTTTTCCCTCTGTCGCTTTAAGGTGAGTGATTTGGACGACGAAACCAGCTCTCCAACCGAAGAGTTCAAGGCCTTTGCTGGGGACACTGGGATGAACCGCAGCCAGTCTGAATACTGCAACGTGGGCTCTAAGACCTCCCTGACCAACCACCCTGCCAAGAAATATGTCTTTGACTTCATGAGGGTCCTGATCATGGACAACATGTGCATGACCCCCGCCAGCAAGCAGACGCCCATCATCGACATGCTGCTGGAGGTTCGGGACGCTATAATCAGACCCAAACCTTTAGATCGTCTTTGGATAACATCTGATCACGTTTTCGCTTTAACCTGTAGGCCTCCCCAGATCGCTCCACCAGAACTCAGCAGAAGGAGTTTCAGTCCAGCATCCTGGATGGAGTCATGGAACATCTCCTGGCCGCAGATGTCCTTCTAGGTAACAGCATACCAGCATTTTCCTTTATTTATGCTACTATCACAGCTTTATGTTCTCAGTTCAGGGATTTATTACCTGCTTAATTATAGAAAATCAACACATTTCAATTAGCAAGAACCTCCAGTGATTCAGTTCGAGTTTTAAGCAGTGATGAGCATCCCTTAGTTCTGTATAAACCCTTATAGGTGTTTCACAAGAAAGCAAATTACCCTCACACATATTTACACAACGGTTTCCGTCCAAATAGCTTCTTCATTCTAAACTTTCAGAAAACCTGAATGCAATTAAGGCCAAGATTGAAACTAAAGCCCCAAAACAATTTTTCTTCTTTTAAAATTTATTTCTAAATGAACTTTCGGGTTGAAACTTCAGCTTTCCAGATTGAACACTGAAATGCACAAATAACTTTACACTCCTCACTGATTGTTTTGATGGTTAAACACAAAAAAGCCTCCCGATGAACTGAAATACAGGTTAACCTGAAACTTGAAACCGTCTGAAACTTCACCGTATCCAGATTTCAGGTTAATTTTAGGGAACAGGTGTCATCATACAGTCAAGAGTTGGCTGAGTGTTTCTGAAACTTTAGAGGTTAAAGGAATTTCTTAAATGGGAAAGTTTCTCAAAAGTTACTTGTAAGTTTCTGATGGTGGCCTGTTAGTTTGGGTGGAGTGGCCTGCAGGTTCCTTAAAGCAGTCTTTAAATTCCTAAAACTACAAGTTACAGTAAACATGTAACTTGTAATCCCTAGAAAGTAACATCATGGAAAATAATATTTAAATCCATTGGCTGATCATCTTTACCGTTTCTGAGAAAGCACCTCTAGTTTGGTGTTACTGCAGAAATTCTCAAATATTTCATTTCTGAGAAGGTAAAATGTAAACATGTTAAAAAAAAAAACTGACCTGGAAGAAACCTCTGGGCAGGAAATGTGACCTGATGGTCGCAGGAAGTCATTTGTACATTTGGAGAGGGTAACTAGGAACAAAATCTGTAGATTCCAGGATAGAACTCTGGAAACTTTCTAAACATGATAAAGTTCTGCAGAGTAAACTGGAACCTTTGGGCTTTATCATTGATTTCCAGCATAGTTTCCTATTAGCATTTACTGA